AGATCCGTTTCCCTTTGATTTTTAATATTGCGACTTTGGTGGCATCCTATTTGGGTGGAGGGGGTGTGGTGGTCTGGGATATTCAATTACGGTGGGAGGTTCAAGATTGGGAGGTTGCTCAGCTGGTGGAGTTGTGGGGTTTCTTATATGGTTTGGGGACTGTTGGGGTGGGACAAGATGTCGTGGTGTGGAATGCGATGGGAGCAAAAGGACGTTTCACAGTAGCATCACTTTATCGGGGCTTGATGGGAGATGGTGGTAGGGTCTTTCCTTGGACAAGTGTTTGGGTTCCGGCGATTCCGACTAAGGTTGCCTTTTTTATGTGGACGGTTGCCTTAGGTCGGAATCTCACGTTGGATAATTTGATGCGGTGGGGCCACATCCTAGTGAATCGGTGTTGTATGTGCTGCGAGGATGTAGAGACAGTAGATCATTTGTTTCTTCATTGTTCGGTGGCTTCGACTTTGTGGGGCTTTGTTTGTTTACTCTTTGGGGTTGATTGGGTTTAGCCACAGGGGGTGTTGGATTTCCTTTGGGCTTGGCGAGGCATTCGTCTTGGGTAGCGGTGGCGCTGGGTTTGGTTATTGGTACCGTTCTGTTTCACGTGGCTACTTTGGTTGGAGCGAAATAGACGTACCTTTTTAGAGGTTTCTCATGGTGTTTCTTGGTTATAGAATCGTCTTCTTATAGTTATGTATAGTTGGTTGGAGGGTAGGGTAGGGTAGATCCGGATTTATTTGTGTTTCTCGATTTTTTAGATGAGGTGATTGGTTAGCCCTTGTCTTTATTGGTTCCCCAATCTGGGGTGGTGTTCTTGTATTGGTTGCATCAACTTGATGCTTTCTTTAATATTTGCTTATTTATCAAAAAAAAAAAAACTTCAATATTCCACTTCTTCAAAGTTGTTTTAAGGCCTTTAAACTTTTTGAAAACAACATACCCTGCCCATCCCATCTCTTGAGTTTCCTCCCAAGCTTTTTCTACTAGAGCTAAGAAATTGGGATGCATTGTCCATGTATGTAAAAACTGGAATTGCTTTGGGCCCAAAATCCCTCTCATCTTCCCTTAGCAGCAGTGGGCAATGATCAGACATCAGCTTTGGCAGTCCCCATAACTTTAAAAGGTACTTTTCCACCCATTTAAGAACCTGTCAATCCTGCTCTATCTTCCCCCTCTTGAGAGTTACACCATGTGTACTTTCTACCCAACATAGGTACATCAAAAACTTCCGTTGTGTCGATAAATTCATGAAACTCCCTCATCCCCCTATCTCTTCTTGAAACTCCTCTTCTTTCACTTAAAGATCTAATTTCGTTAAAATCTCCACCCAAGCACCATGGTTTGTGAAAATAATTTCTTAGGTTAATCAGAGTTTCCCACGACTTACCCCTTTTTACCCCATCATTTGGTGCATAAACATTAACTAGAACACAATCAAAAGAGAATTGAATGTACCTATCATAATAATGAAGTGTCTGTTGCTAAAGCACCTAGAAATTCTGAAAGACTCTGGATTCCAAATGCAAAGTAGTCCTCCTGCATTTCGCTCTGAGTCAACACTCATGAAGTCCATCTGATCATTTGGCCAAATAGATTTTACCAATTCTTCAGATAAATTCGATTTCTTTGTTTCTTGGAAGAAAGCCACATCAACTATACTTTCTTTGATCAAATTTCTGATCTTTCTCTTTTCAGATTTGCCAAGCCCTCTTATATTCCATGTAAGTATCATCATTAAGAAAATTAGTTACCCTCCAAACTCCACCTTTGAGCATGATAATTGCTCATCACATCCCACTTCCCTATTTGCCGTTCTCTGCTTATCATTTTCTTCAAGATTCACAATTCTGTGTTACCTCATCCTCATTTCCTTCACAGTTTGAGCCCAAGATTTTCCCAATTTTGATTGTTGCTTGTGCTTCATTTAGTAGATATCTCCCTTTTTTGGACTTTGAATTGCTCGACACTGATAGCAATATGGCTGCAGCAGCCACTCTAAAAATGGTTGCCCTTTTCTATATTCTTGTCGGCGTTCCCTGAGGGTACTCCATCTTCTTTCTTCTTCTTCTGTTGTTTGCTTTTGAGGTCATTGAATCTGGGTTTACCACATTCTGGGTGTGGGCATAACAAAAGTTCCTCTCTTCAGGCCTTTCCTCATTTGGCCCATTTACATCCTTTGCTGGCCCACTGATATATTCTTTTGAAAAGTGATCCAACACCACCTCCAAATTTACTCTGGGCTGAATGGAGACTGGCCCACTAAAGCTTTTCATAAACCCTTGTGTAATGATAGTATCATCTACCCTACAATTTTCTTCATCATATGCATGTTTGGAACTCTCCCTTGAGAGTAATTCATCACCCACGCCTGCTCCCCCATCTCTTGTGTTTCCCATGCCACTTCTGGTTTCCTCGACAACAGAAATGGATTGCCTATCCCCTTCATTTGCCACATCATCTCTCCTATTGTTTTCCTCTGCCTAATTATTGAATGCCACAATAGTAAGATTATCCATCTCCTTCTCCATTGATGTAGAGTATAAAAGCTCAAGGAAGGTTAAATTTAAAGAAGCGATGATAAATGGACATTGGTATGATTTCATAAAGAAACTGATAGAAGTCTTCTATAATTATGTTTATAATATTTTTAGTCTTATTTTACAATTAAATTTATGTTTTCTAGGATTTTAAGCTTAGGGGTATTTTGGTAATTTGTAGAATTTCTGAATATGGGTTGTGTGTGTTGCCCATGGGTTATTTTATGGGTCAAATTATTTAATTAGTTTTTATTTATGTTCTTATTTAGTTTTAAATTGGTTTTAGAAGTCAGATATTTTAGTAGTTTCCTTTTTTTGTTATAGTTGGTTTAGAAAATCTTTATGTAATGCTTCTAATTCAATAGAATTGATATTTTATAAAAAATTAAGAGCTTTGAAGCTTCTTTATGGATTGTGTGATGCAATCAAACCCTAGGTATAATGCGTATGGAATCTAGGTGTGATGCCTAGACCTATCTTCTTTTCTTCTTTCTTCTTCTTTTCTGTTTCAATTTACTATTTTCGGATTACTATTCACAGCCCTCTAAAAGTGCATTTTTCAACCTCAAAACCCTATGCCATCACCCACAAATCAACCTTAATCCCTTCCTCTACCTATTAGCCTTCAATTTAACCCTTTAAACCCTAAATTACTAAATGACCTCTGTTTTCAAAATCCAGCGCTGTCCCTACTCGTCTTACATCCACCTTACGTGCCACATTCTCATTGTTCTCCACGTCATTTTCCCCGTCATCATCTTCTTCCTCATCTCCATTTTCATTTCCAGATACTGTCTCACCATTGATATTACAGCTGCAAAATCCTTCCGACCCCTGATGCACATTTCCTGAGCAGCCTATCATTTCCTCCTTTGATGCTAGAACTTGTTCTTCCACTATTCTTAATTGATAGACATTTCCTTTGCACTCCAGATTTATGATTTTGTTAATAAATTCCAGACTATTTGTGATCACTCTGATTTTCCCACACTGAAATGATACCATTTCAAGAGTTTCATCATCCATCTCAATGACTTCCCCCATAGGTTTTCTCTATGTTTTTTAAAGTGTTGTAATTCCATAAATTCAGAGGAACACCATAGCATCTTAACCAAACATCCCTTTCATAATCCATACAGAGTCCTTCATTTCCCTCCCTTATACTTTCACACCATTCTTCATACCATTCCTTCAATTTGATGAAATTTTCTTTCGTTTCCTTCACTGAACGAAAAGTCATAATTATCTTTCTACCTGATCCATCTCGAATCATTCCTTCCTTAAGACCTTGCTTTTTTTAGTTCTTCTATGAAAGTGGGTTTAAAAAGAGAACTTTTCAACTTCATAATTATGCTTTCATATAACCAACCACTTTCTTCTTCAAAAGCTTTGACAGTTAACTCTGCTTCCCGTCTCTTTTCCTCTCCTTACCACTTCAGCGAAGGATCTATGATTAAGGGTTGCTGGAACATTACCTTTTTGCATGACCTCTCTTTCCTTCCCTACTCTTTGCTCAAAAACAAAGTTTTCATCTGCTTTTTTATTTTTGCCAAAATCAGCATTTTTCACTTTCAGTGCCTTTTCATCACACCATAGACCATTTGTTTTCTGAATAGCTACATCTGCTGCCACCTGACAGCCATACCTAACAAACCCAAACCTTGATTGAGTTGCTTTTCTTCTCTTATTTGGAATAAAAACATCCTTTACCACCCCAAACTTTGTAAAAAGTGCAAATAATCCTCTCAGATCCATTAATTCCGGAATATTATCCACGATCGTGTACAAACCTTCACTTTCGCTTCTGTCTTTTGGCCATTCCATTTTGTCTTCTTCTATGCAACACCGGAGTTCATCCACCCATTGTTAAGACACTTGTTATCTTGACTTGGATGAAAAAACTGTTTGCGCAAGAGCAGGTCGCAAGGACCAGAAGAAAACCTGTTCAAAAAAAAAAAAAGGACCAGAAGAAAACCTCCCTACACTTTCCCGAAGAGCAGGACACGAACCCAATCTCCTTTCCTTCACTCCCAACACAGAGGAGCAGGACGCAAGGAAGAGACCAGGTTCTCTACACTCCCCAAGAGAAGCAGGACTTGAGGTTCCTCCGCCTCCCTACACTCTTACCACAGTCAGCGAGCTCACCGGAAATTGCCCTACCAAAGTCGGCGATGCTGATCCTCAATAACAGTTAACATCTTATAAATTGCCATATTATATTATATAATATATATATAACAAAATAGTGTTCATAGTTAATAATATTTTGTTTTAGTTGTTGGTATGAAAGCATTATAACTTGACCACTCTTTATCCGTATTTTAGTTCTGCTATTCAAATCAATTTTGTGATGGTCCTGCAGTTTCAGAGAGATAATTTATTTCATAACAAATTTTGTTGATTATTGTTCTGATGATGAATATGAATTATAATTATTATTTAATAGCATCTCATTATGAACAGTTATGGTGCAATAGAAGCTAGAAAAGGGAATCCACCCGTAATGCCAGCTGTTATGACTCCTGGAGGACCTCTGGATCTTTCAACTGTTTTATTCAGGAATCGCATAATCTTCATTGGACAGCCAATAAACTCACAGGTCGCTCAGCAAGTTATATCACAGCTTGTGACCCTAGCAACTATAGACGAGGATGCCGATATTCTGGTGTGATTTATACTAACTCATTACTTAGTTCTCACTCTTGTAGTTCAGACATTGGAATTGGAGCTATGAGCCTAATATATTGTAACCATATTCTTCATTTTTGTGACTGTCTTTTGCCATGTCAGGTGTATCTGAACTGCCCTGGTGGAAGCACCTACTCAGTGTTAGCAATTTACGATTGCATGTCTTGGGTAAGAATGTGAAGATCATTTTTTTTTTTTCTGAGGCTCTTCACTCTGTTTTTGTTTTATTCTTGCATATCTTCTGATAGTAATAACATTGATTTTGTAATTTGGTACTAGCATAATACGGATAGAAACATGGACTCTTATTACTCTCTTGCAAATGGCTCATTGTTGTCTTCATAGCAAAATGCACCTCAAGATTTAGTGGGTGTTTGGAATACCCTACAAAAGACAAAAAGTCACTGAAAAAGACAAAAAGTTAATGTTATTCACATGTTTGGCGGGAAAAAAGGAATCTTAGACAGAGGGCAAAAAGACATAAATGTCCTTCGTTGGGAACAGGAAAAAGAAAAATAAAAAAAATTGAAAAAAAAAGTCAAACAAACCTGGCTGCCCACCACAGTTTTGTAAGGAAAAAAGGCAACCGTACTGACATGCACGGTATGCATGTTAGTACTGATAGGGGTAATATGGTAATTTTGGTATTTCATACAATATTTTAATACACATTTTTTCATAAAAATTCAAAAAGTTATCCCAAACAATCATCTTTTTTTTTTTCTCTACTTTTTTAGCTAAAAAGTTAAAAAGTGCACTTATATAGTTCATCCCAAACAACCCCTTAGTTTCAATACACGTTTGTTTCAAGCATTTATGTTTCTATTATGTGATATGATGTTATCCGCTGGCTAGAACTGCAGCATTTCTTTTGCCTCTTGTTTATTCTTCTTTGTCCTTTTTTTTCCCCCTTCTTTTGTGTGTATGTATGTTTGGGAAAACATAAAAAACTTTGATCATGTACATATTGTATGTGGTAGGCATCTTTCACCCCTTTATCTGCTACATTATTGCCTATATCAGATGCTTTGTGAAGAACCTCAATCTAGTTTGAGATAATAATAGAGACACAATAAAGATGATCTTTTGTTTGATTTTTCATGAACTCAAGTGCAACTTCATTGTTTGAACAGTATTATTAGTTTCATTGAATGTGCAATTTTTCATGCACGTTGATTCGAGTGGTGGCCGGACTGTTTCAAGATCTTGATGAACAAATTGAAGGAAAAACTGAGTGAGTGTTGGAAGGACAAAGGAAAGGGGAAAAAAATAGCTAACACAAGCGGAAGAAAGAATTACTCTTTCATGTACAATGAAAGCTTAATACACATACACATAGGGTACACACAACTTTTAGGGTATAAACCTAGGAAGCACGGATATGGATACGGGGATACAAATACGGCGATACGCCAAAATTTGAAAAAGTAAGATATAGGTACGACGTTCGTAAAAAAAAAATAAAAAATTTATGGTAGTGTTTGGTAGAGTTTTAGAAATATGATTTGAAAATAAAGTTGTGTTTTGAGTTTATGAGTTTTGGAATTATGATTTGAGTGTAGAAAATTTGTATGGTTATGAGTTTTAAAAAGAGTATTGAATTGAGTTTTGAGTTGAGTGTTGAATTGAGTTTTGAATGTGTGATGTGACATGTGAAATAAGAAAATTTATTTGGTTATGATTCAAAAAGTTATAACTCATAACCAAACACACATCTCAAAACTCTATTGAAAATTTTGTTCAAAATGCATAACCAAACTCTTTTTAAAATTCAATTCAAAAAAATAATTATTAAAAAAATAACATAATTTTTTTTTATTTGAAAATATTACAAACAAAATATTTTTTTTTTCAAAATAAACCTTCAATTACTGCTTTAAAATAACTTTTGATTGTATATTTGGTTGGAATTATTATTTTTAAATATTTTTGATTTAAAATATATAAAAAAATATTATTTTTGTTAAAAAAATCAAAAACAAAATTCCCCCCCTTTTTTTTTCTCTAAATAAATAACAGGTGCCAATTGCAACAAAAAAAAAAACCACTGTTTCGGTCAATCGACCGGACGTCCGGGAGGATGACCGGGTAGACATAAGTTGCGCTTTTCAAAATTCAAAATTAAAAAAAAAAACTCTCTTCTCCAAACGGAAGTTGAAATGAGTTTTGGAATGTTATAAACCAAACCAAACCAAACCAAACCAAACCAAGGCTTAAGTCCCATCAAATTGAGTTTTGGAATGTTATATTGGAATTAATTTTTCAAAACTTTAACCAAACAAAATATTGAAAACAGCTTTGGAATCATGTTTCCAGAGCTGTTCCAAACACAGCCTATAATTTTAATAATGTAATATGCATGAAAATAAAACTTAAAGCAAATTAATAAATAAAGGGAGGGATTCCTATTAAATTAAGAGTCTTTAAACATTCATAAAGCATCCAAAATTAAAAGCAAAAGTAAATGCAAATTAAATATCATCTTTACATGCCAACACCAAAAAAAGAACAAGAGCAAAAAGAAGAAATGTGAGAGAGCGAGAGACCAAGAGAGAAGTGAGAGAGATAATAAGAATACATCAATTTGACAAATTCTATTACTTTAACTCTTACTATATTCCTCTTATTAAAGAACTAAACAAAGTATTAGAAGTAATATGTGACTTCGTGTATCCAATACTTCAGAATTAAGTATTCAATATTCCAAAATTAATAAAAAATTAAGAAGTATCTGATACGTATCCGCGAGTATCCAAGGAGTATCGGTATTCGATAAGTATCCGATACGGATATGTCTCTCTTTTTGAAGTATCCGTGCTTCATAGGTACAAACACTCTTGGAGAGAAATACAAGAGTAGCATTCTTCCCAACTCATCATCGTGAAATTCCCATGCAAACTTGGTAAACATCGCACCAAAGTGCACTCACAACACGTGGAACCCACTTCGTCATTGTACCATGGAGAGGTAGCTGAGATCCCAAATGAAATATCAAAACACCACCATGGTAAGACATCAAGATGCAGCCCAAGAAACCACAAAGAAACTCATGTCAAAATGAGAGATCCCCGAATCCAATAGCCCTACTCCAGGGTTCAAATGCATCCAAGAAGGCAACCATCAACAATTAATCCTCCACTTCCAAATCAACAGAAGGGCATCACTAATGTCAACTGAAACAAGGAAGGGGAAGAAGGCACCGCCACTCTTGGCAAGACCTTCATAGACACAAGACCATGAAATAGAGCAAGGTTCCATCCAATCTCAACTCAAGACCAAAATTGGTGGAGAGGAGAAAATGTTATGGTCCCGAGGAGAAAATGCATGATAGCACCCCAAATCCAACAGGTCAACTCCATGGTCCATTTCCATAGTCACCAAGAGGTCAACCACCTAAGTACAACCTCCATTTCCATATCAACATGATGGCATTGCCTAAAGGCAACTAAAATGGCATAAAGCAGTAGAGTTGAAGGCATTGTTTGGTTGGGTTGGGTTGGGATGTGTTGAGTAGCTTGATGAACTTTACCAGGTTCAGGTTAGACTTTATGGGTGGTTCCCATGTATACACTTACACTGTGCCGCACATGGTTTATGCTGACGGTTTCTGTATTACCTAGGAGGCTAAGCCATTGTTTTTGATCATATGTGTCTGGGGTCTCCAATATCGTCTAAAGATACAATCTGATTTAATAATTTCAATCAAGCATATAACTCTTTCTCCGAATTGTGTGCACAAACTCTATTTTTGTCCTTTTGTTTGCAAATTTGTCTCCATCCTTTTGTTTGTAAGCTTGTCTCCATTTAATGTTTTACTTGAATTATTCATTTTGCAGATAAAGCCTAAGGTTGGCACAGTATGTTTTGGAGTTGCTGCAAGCCAAGGAGCACTTCTTCTTGCTGGTGGTGAAAAGGGAATGCGGTACGCAATGCCAAATGCACGTATTATGATTCATCAACCGCAGAGTGGATGTGGGGTATGAAGTAAACTTTGTTTTCTGGACCAAGAATTCTTACACAGGAGTAGGATATCTTGAAAGATCCATAACCCCATCGCCTTGCTTGCTTGGAATTTTGTGACAAATTTTTTTATTTAATCTTGTGTTTTTTCTTTTTTTCTCCCCTTACTTGGCATAAAAACCCGTGTGCTTGTGTAATATTTAGCTTCTTATACATGCATGATGATTAAAAACACATAATTAATAATTGATTAGATCCTTTAAAGCATGTTCATATGTTGAATTAACATGTATTGCTGAATCAGTGTCAGCACATATGGTTTCATTTACTAAACATACAGGTCCAATTGTGCTTTTGTTTCTTGTAGGGGCATGTGGAGGATGTGAGGCGCCAAGTGAATGAAGCAATTCAATCACGCCATGTCAGTCTCTCTTACTTACTTCCTTTGTATGATCTGGATGGTCTCTGGACGATTATAATGTCACCTAATTATCTTTTGTAATTGATTCCAAGTTGGAACTTGTGTGGGCATTTTTTTTCACTTGACCATTGAAATTAAAAGGCTACTTTGTCTTGTAGCTGTTTTGATTTTTGAATATTGCCAGCAGTCTGCCATGTTTTTTTTTCCCTCACTCCATTTTTCTTTAAGAAAACCTACTTTTTGAATGAAACACTGCCATATATATACACAATATACACTACCATACATATAAACCTAACCTAATATTCTCACAATGCAAATATATTAAGAAACCAATTTTCCAACATTTTGATGTGTAAAATTCTTGTTGTCAAGAGGCTTAATATTGCCTTTTAAGCACAGTAACTACGAGCTAGCTGCATCGTATCCTATTTAAAATGATCTTGCCCACTATTCTGGAATATTTTAGCAATAAGATATAAACTGTAGGTAGCTTCTTCCTGTTGACATTACTTAGTTGAGATTTAGATGACTTCATATTATACTTACTGAGTTTTCCACTTGCATTAAAGCTCTTACTTTGCCTCACAGTTGAACTTTTGATTTATATACACTAGTGCTCGAACTTATGAAACACGGAATTTCACTGTGTTCTTTTTGTCCTTATTGTTTGGTACAGAAAATTGACAAAATGTATGCTGCTTTTACTGGCCAATCTCTAGAAAAAGTGCAACAGTACACCGAGAGGGACAGATTTTTGTCTGTTTCAGAGGTGAGGTTCCTCAATCCTTATCCTTCTTGTAGTTGTGAGGTACAATCCTGATTGTCAATGCTCATCACTAACCTCAATGGTTAGCTCTCCTTACAATACTTGAGAGGAATTAGGGAAAAAGTAATTCTAAAAATGAAACATGATGAATAAGTGTATTTGGTCGAGTCTGTCTAGGGGGATGCCTGGTGTTGAACCCTTGCGGATTTGGGTCTTGTACACGCCTGGACATCAAACGCCCAACCTTTCAAGTTTGTGAGTTTGCTATTTTGACAGGATTTTGCAAACTCAACTACATTGGTATAGTTGATCTGGCTTGCTTAGTGAAAACATCTATTCTATTATATAATGCACACCTTTCTTGGTGTGAACTGTCACACTTTGTCTCATTCCCAAATTGCTTCTGTGCAACTACCTATATATAACTACTTTAGCTTTTGATTTGGAATTTTAAATTTTAATTACTTATCAGTCCCCCCACCCCCATCTAAATTGTTGATTTTCATAGCACACCCATTGGGTGTGCACACTGTCTAGTAGTAGTGATATGTACAACTTAGATTGGAGAATTTTTGTTTGCATAAAGATTTGAAAGCATGAGTGAGTCCATAGGGAACACATAACAAACAAGATGTAGGAAGCTTGGGCGCAAGTACGGATGTGGATATGAGTATGCTGACACAACAAAACCTTAAAAAAATAGGATACAAGTACTGGCCGGTATGTCCATAAAAATATATATTTTTATAATTTGTAGTAGTACATGACATATAAAAAATAAAAATAAAATGCAAAAATAATTGAAGTACTTTTGTAATGGTCAAATAAAGAACCCTAAGTATTTTTTATATTTTAATAATTGTAGAAATACCTTATATTTTTAAAATTTGTAGAAATAGGCACAATATAATTGGTCCAATACCCCTATATTTTAAAAACAACAAAAGAAATTATATTTATCATACAAAGTACCCGCAAAAGTACTTGAAACTTACCCTTGCCATACCCGAGACGTACCCATGCCTTACCGGTCCTATATCCATGTTGTGCCCAAGCCTTACCCAAAATATTCTGCATACCTAGTGCGTGTGTGTACTGGTATATGGACCCATACCGGGTCAGTACCCAATGCTCGTTCCGCAATATTTTCTGAATACCTTGCATCATAGCTAATGAGTTGTGTATGTTATATAGAATGCCTAGGAAATGCATGAGAACTAGAGGGTGTGTTTATCACCATTCTTGCTTGCATTGCATCTTATTATTGGTTTCAATGTTGTGGTCCTAATTTTCTGGACATTTTTTTAAATGGTACATTGAAGGCCATAGCCTTGCAGGGGAGAATGTTGCCTGTTGCAAATGATTCTTGAACCCTTGACCTCATAGTGAGGTTCAATTCTTTTGGACAATGGAACTAGCTTTAGTTGGTTAATTTTAATTCCATTTTGTTGCTACAATTTGGTTCGAATGAAGACAAAAAATAATAAGAATCTTTAGGGTGTACGCCTGAATTTCCTGGGATTGTAGTTTAATGGATTTGCCTCCCAATTTTCTGTGAAAAGGGGCTCCATTTTCTGCGATAGTTAATGATCAATTTACATCTGCCCTTTCTTTTGCAGGCTATGGAGTTTGGTCTAATTGATGGGGTCTTGGAAACAGAATACTAAGCTCAGAATCACACTACTTAGTGTTTGTTTGAGAACAGTGTTCAAGTGATGATCTGCATTTGTAATGTTTAAAAGGTTGTACACAACTAGTAATTCAAACTTGAATGCCAATTTTTTGGAAATCTCTGTTCGATTAACCTTGGGTGCATTTTAATTTATGGAAATTTTCATGGTAGATTGCTGATGTAATTTTGTAAATGTTTTTTAGGATACCAATATCTAAACTTAGCTAAATTACTGAAGTTGCTAAATAAAGATAGGTATTACGTGATCATGTCTTTACAAAGATGGTTTGATTAGGCTCTAATAATTTTTTTAATTTTATTGTTTAATTTTGGACATTTGTGTCAGATTGTTTGATTTACCTTTTGTTTATACTTATGTGACATAAATAGTTTAAATAAGTTAGAAAAAATTGATTATGGAAATAGGTGTTTTTAACTTTAAATATTCGATTATCAAATTTCAATTTGTTATATGTTGTATCATATAAGCTCCTAATTTTTTGGGAGAATATCAAAAAAGTGAAATGTGAAATTCATGAAAGTACAAGTGGCTCATGTACTAATTTGTGCAAAAAAATATTATATTTTTATGCATTTGAAATTATTTTATTATTTTTTTGAGTTTTTTTTATATCCTCCCTAATTTTTTAAGTTAATTTACTAATTCAAATTGGAACAGTTTCCTTTTATTTGTCAAAATCGTGAATGTGCACACAATAAAACTTACATCTGCTACTTAGTAGTTTGATAACATTGTTAGTTTATAAATATCTTCAATACAAATGTAAACACAAATGAATATATTTGGTAAGTTGTTGAAGGTGGTAGCAGATAGTGGATGATGGCCACCGTGTTGTGTTGAGGAGTTGGTAGTACGAGCGTCACCAGAAGTCCAGGTTGGACGGAGGACTGCAAAAAGCCACTCCCAATTGACGGAGAGTCTTTGGTTACTAGGGTTCGTTTGTTTCTAGAGTTGGAGGATAGGGCTAGGACTAGTAGTGAGGTGAGATTTAAAAAATTATGTTTGTTTTAAAAAGTGGTCATGGGATTAAGAGTCTCATGAGACTATGAAAGGCTTTGGAGGGGACTAATAGCGGCCTACGGGAGGTGGTATTCAAAAATGAATCCCTTGAGACTAGATTAATTGACTATTTTACCCTTACGTTTATTACTAAATTTGTTATAATACTTGGAATAAAGATCATAATATGGCTCATGTAATATTAAACACAAATAATTGAGTAAAATTTTATTGATAGTTGGATTCTTTAATATTTGAAAAAAAAAAAAAAACATTGAATAAAAAAATTTTGATAGTTGGATTCTTTAATATTTAAAAAATATAAAAAAAGTAGAATAACATTGAGTAATTTAGTTGATATAAGCCTAAATTTGATAATAATGCAAATGATATTTGTGGAATTTTACATAGTTAATCCCACTCTTATGTCTCAAAATAGACATGAACTATTATTAGTTCACAGGTTATTAAACAAATATAATTTTTTTTAATCCTCTCACTAGCAGTCCCCTCACTAACAATCCCCTTACTAACAATTCCCTCAATTCTATCTCTGAAAACAAACGGGATCCTAAGGGCGATTATGGATCTGTCCAATCTGACCGAATTGACACAACCCGATTGATTTTGGGCGGATGCGGATGAAATATTTCAAAATTCAAGGATACGGTTTGGATAGCAGATCAACCATCCCGCACTCACATGAATCCGATCCGCCCGTAGATGAAGTTCAAAAAAGAAAAAGAAAAAGAAAAAGAAACTATTAACAAGTAACAACATAGAGTAAAAATAATAAAATATATATATTTTTGTGAAAATAAAAAATAATACCTCAAAAAAATTCATGTGTGGTGCTATGGCCTATTATAGACAAATAATACATATTTTTTTTTTTCAGATTACTTGTTATTGGAGATTATAAAAGTTATGAATTATAATTCAAAAAAATGTCCAAAATTTTTAAAGTCCAAACCAATCGCATCTATTCGCCAACCTGAACAGCCCGCTCAATCTGCATCTGCCAAACAAGTAAACGGATGCGAATTAATTTTTTTTAATCTGCCTAATTTTGAACAGATGGTGAATGAAATGCCACCCAACTCAACCCGATCCGGGATCACCAATATTGGTGACCAGAGATTGTAGTGTATCAAAGGGCACAATGTTTAGTTTCGTTTTGATGATTTTGTTTAATTTTTTTTTTCAATATTATGAAGCTAAATTACACTTATCTTTCCTGAGATTTGAAAAAATATAACGAGCCTCATATTTTTAATATAATTATACTGATCTCTCATGAAATTTTAATTCACTTAACACTTAGATCATTTTTTTTTATCAATAATTTGTTGGTAATATGGATAAAAAGTTGCCGTCCAATTTCTACTAGAATGTATATTTCCCTTTGTTTATTTTAGTGGAGCTTAGACAATTGCCCAAGTGGTGGTGGAGAGGGCATTTAAGTGTTAAGGTGAGTGAGATTTCATGTTCAAGTCTATGGAGAGATATTGACCTGCATTGTGATCCAATTACTAACATACTAATCGTTATCTTGTGACAAAAAAAAAAAAAAAAAAAAAAAAAAAAAAGTCAATGCAATTATGCCAAACTTGTGACGCCCCAAAAATCATGAATATAAAATAATATATTAACAAATAAACACAAGATTTTTCTAAAATTATAAGTGTAGAAAACATCACTAATGACTCATTTAGTTAATAAACAAGTAAGATCCTAAGAAAGATCGGAGGAGTCAAAATAACCTCCATTCTAAGTCCAATCTTCTTAGATAGTAAAACTATCTTTTTGACAAATCTTAACAAGGTATTAACACAAGGTCTAATAATTACAAGAGGTATGTAGATCCCAAGAAAGATCGGAGGAATTAAAATAACCTCACTTCTAAGTCCAATCTCCTTAGATAGCAAAGTTACCTTTTTGACAAATCTTAACAAGGTATTAACACACAGTCTACATGAGTTGACAAAATATAAGGATAGGTTACAATATATATATATATATATATAAGCAAAATAATAATTACAAGAGGTATGCCTTAGTTACAGAGTTTTAACACTTACAATTCCAAACATGGTTATAAAAGAGACTTAACAACACTAGTATCTAATTCTTCTAAGGTAGCCATACGTTCTCAAATGCTTCAGCTTTGTCTTCGACTGGTTAATAGTCTTTAATATTTGGCATGAGACTCCATGAGCTTGGAATGCCTAATATACGCACACACACTCCATCCCTTTTTTCCAGTCCAATACACAATTACAATTATAACATGTAATGAAGCATGATATTCAAGTAAACAAGTAAAGGGTTACAAAATTAGATGTTAGTAATTTAGAAATCTCCTAAAGAGATTTCATCCACCCAACCGCAAGAATTGAACTCGGATTATTCGGTATGTCCCTCATTTTGCTACTTTGCAGTCCGTACCCCAGATGCCTACAACGGTTACATACCGCGTAGCACCAACTAAGGACCTTAAAAGAGAAAATAAAAATAAGATCTTACCCATAACCTCCTCCAACCTTATCGCACTGAAACCATCTAAGGGAATATAATCGATCTATTCAAGGGTTCCAAAAAAAATCACTTGCGCAAGACTTTACTTTCAATAGGGAACACGTCCCGCTAACCAATTGAAATATGACACAACATTATCTCATGAAGTTACTCACGTGATCGAAAACCAATTTACCACCCCAATAAAGTTTCTGTTGAGTTAGATGTTTTAAGTTAAGATTGTTGAAAATAATTCCTCGGTAAATTAATTTGTTTAAGCAGAAAAAAGAAATTTCTGTCTTAAAATTGTTGAAAATAATTCCCTGATAAATTAATTTATTTAATATATCAAAAATGAAATACAATAAATAAAAAAAATCAAGTAACAGAAAATACTTATCGTGTTGTAAACCAAAAACAAAATAATTAACAGATGTGTGATTGAGGCCAGTGTTTGGACACTGTGTCTTTAAGACAGAAATTCGCCCTCTCCACTGGTGCTTGAGATCTACGGATGTCCTGTCTCCAGAATACAACAATCACCTACACACAGAAATAACACTACAATCTGTGTGTATTGTGAACCAAATATGTGTTAAGTACTCTCAATAAAAAAAAACCAAAAAACAAAAACAAAATGAATATGAATGAAGATGAAGACAAAAGACTTGAAGGCAAAATGATTTCTCTTCTTTTTTTTTTTATACTATTTTTTTTATATATATCTTTTTGATGGATTGTCTTCTACCATTATATCAGCAATGAACCATAGCATACACAAAGCAACAGCCATGTTTGTGACTGTTCGTAAGTGGCCGTTAAAGACCAAATTCAAAATTCAAAATTCAATTTTTTTTTTCAAAAATATAAGTGCCAATCCAACCCGTGTCCAGCCCGATTCTGGTGGAGCGGCGACGCGTGTGCATTTTGGATTGAGCCCATTTCGGTCTATTACTCCCCTCCTTACAATGAGTTGATTTCTCGTTCACTCATTAATGGCTTTAACAACCATAATACATTCTCTTCTTCACCATATAACAAGAAAAAATTGCTACTTTGACCCACCTAAATAATGTGTGGGTCCTACATTATTAATGGTTTAAAACCTTTTTTCTCCAACAATTCTCCACATGAATCAAATTAATGAAAAGAACATGCAACAATATGTGGACTCAAAGAGTACTAAACTGGAAATATCCTACAAGGGATAGGTAGTTTTTGGCTTTGAACCTTTGCTTGTAAAAGATTATCAGATTTATTGAGAAATCAGTGGACATGATGCCTTGAATTGTTCTGTCTTTGGCGTAAACCAAAACAACAACCTTTCACACAGTTTTATTTCCATACACAACTTGGTTCTATCGGTTGTGCCCATTTTGGCCGTGGACAATTCCTGTTTTTCATGAGTGCTCTAGAGAATTTAGCCTTTTTCAATTCTCATAGAACCGGCCCAGTTTACACTCATATAGGTGATTCTCATTAAGAGTATCTTGCTATACCCTACTTGGATTTCCAACTTATGAGAATCATTAAAAGCAAAAACTTATCCTGATTATCGCTGCAAGCATCACTATGTCATCATAGAAATAGGTAGGAGATTGTCTCCTAAGTGATCTTTCTGAGTCATTCTTAACTCGGTTGTCCCTTTGAACCTAGATCTTGGGATCTCCAGTAAGCTAGGTTGGGTTACTATTAAGGTGACTCTTAAGTAATAGGCTTTAGTCTCATCCCCTCGTTGA